TAACGACTGAGCCACCCAGGCGCCCCTATGATTGATTTAGATGAAAACATATTATTACTTATTTGCAGACATCCAATCATTATCCATTTAAACTTTAGCACATGAGGCCTCTGTTTCTGTTTATTCATCATTTGGTTAGTATGATTTAAGTATTTTCCTCAAATAGGTCATGTGGTTGTTAACATTTTTTAATTCTTAAAAAATGAAAAAAAATTTTTGTTTACTGATGAATGAAATCCTGGCTGGATATGAGGTTCTGGGGTGATAGTCCTGTACTCTCAAAAGTCTCTAGATGTTATTTCAACATTCTCTGTCTTCTAGGACTTCGAATGTTGTATAAGAGAAGTCCAATACTCGTCTTATTTTCTATTTATAGAAAATTTACTCTTTCTGAGTGGAAACTTAAGATTTATCTTTCATTCTAGAGATTTAGAATTCCACCAAGGTATGTTTAAGTCTGTATATCAGCCATTGCCAGAATGATGCTCTGGAACAAACTACCACAAAAGTCTCATCAGCATTAAATTATAATTATTGGTTACTCACATATCTGTAAATCTAGGCTGGGCTTGACTCTAACATTCAGGTTGGTTCCAGGCCACTTGATGTATTTCTCATCCTTTTTAAAAAAAAAAAAAATTTTTTTTTATTTAATTGACAGAAAGAGACAGTGAGAGCAGGAACACAAGCAGGGGGAGTGGGAGAGGGAGAAGCAGGCTTCCCACGGAGCAGGGAGCCCGATGCGGGGCTCGATCCCAGGACCCTGGGATCATGACCTGAGCCGAAGGCAGTAGCTTAACCAACTGAGTCACTCAGGCGCCCCCTCATCCTCCTTGAGTCAGGAGCGTCCCAGAGCGTGCTCTCATGGCAGAAAGCAGAACAGGAGGATGTGAAAATAAGGGAAGCCTTGTTTAAAATGGCATTGGGAAGCCCTGAAGGGGGAGCTCTTGGTGCACCTGGCTGACATGTGACTCTTGATCTTGGCGTTGTGAGTTCAAGCCCCACGTTGGGTGTAGAGATCCCTTAAATAAATAAACTTAAGAAAAATTCCAACCACCATTAAAAAAAAAAACTAATAAAAGCTGACCTTCCCTTCATGTCCTTGGACTTACCTAGGGTTCACCATCACTTGTATGTCCCAAAGTGCAATTGCTCTGTTATTCCTCAATAAACTAATTTGACTAGTAAAATAACTGGCTTTTTTATTTTTGAGGTTGACAACGGTGAGCCCCCTGTGCAGGGAAAATTGAGGCTTCTGCTTGTATTATGTCCATTGGCCCACGTGAAGCACATAACCAACCCCAAGTCAGGAGCTTGGGAAGAACAATCTGCTTATCTGTGTTAGATGAAGGGGGAGGGAATTGGTACTTGTTGCACCAGAACTTAATCAACTATAATTTGTTTCTAGATCACCTACTAAGATTCTCATGGAACCTACTGGGAACTTGGCATACTTCTTCAGTCTGCAAACTTGGGCCTTTGTTTTGTTCCAGGGAATTTTCATTTATTATTTGCTTCATTATGCTTCTCCTTCACCAGTTCCCTTTCCTTCTTCATGGCCTGCTTTTGCTTGTTATGTCTCCTAGATCTATCCTCCACCAAGACTCTTACCTTTTCCATGTAAGTTCCACTTTTTTGTCTTTTTGAGATATTATGCTTTGAGATATTTCTTCCCTTCACCCAGATTACTGACTCTGGCTGCAAGAGTAGCCATCCTCTCCTTTAATTCATCTGATGTATCTTTTAAGTTTCAAACCACAGCATCTGGTTTCACAGAGTTTGTACGTGTGGGAAGAGGTGTGCGTGCACAGGATGACCAACTTAGCCTGGTTTGCCCAGCACTGTCCTGGTTTTAGCACTGAAAGTCTCACATCCCTGGAACTCCCTCAATCCCAGGCAAACTGGGACAGTTGGTCACCCGAATGCTGTACTTGAATCTCTTTAAATCCTAGTTTTATTTTTTATTTGTTATCCGTCTTCTCTGACAATTCTGTTTTTGCTGGGCGCCTGCCCTGTTTGATCTTTCTCCTTCTGGCTGCTTGTAAATTCTAAGATGTCTGGTTATTTTTTTCTTTATCTACTGTACTGAGACCATTTGGGTCTCGCCTGTCATATACCAGGGCTTGAAACAAATTCAGTCATTAGCTTTCTTGGGAGAGAGAAAAACTTACACCACCAGGGTAGCAAGAGAAGAGAAGGCATGGGTCCCTTTGCTCCTGTCATGCATTCGAGGAGACTACCTGTGCCCCCATACCTTCCTGGATACACGGTGTGGGGCCACGTTCCAGTAGAGGGACCCGAGCCCTTATTGCTCTCCTTTCGAACAAACATGAGAAAACAACCTTGTCAAGGAAGGGACACACAAATTGCTTAGGTGCCACGCAGTCTGGGGCTGGACACGAGATATTTAAAGAAGTTGTCTGGGAATTCCAGCCTCTGGCACCTGAGGTCTGTTGGGAGACACTTTTCCATGGGTTTCTCTTGTTTCTGCACATCTTGTGAGCAGAAACACTGATAGCTTTTATTCTGAGCTAACTTTCCAAGAAAGTTTGTAGAGTGAACAGCCTTAGGAGATAGAGAACACGTCTCCATATGGAGCCAAAGAAAAATGTGTTTGTTGACGGTATAATAATGTCTCCCTTTAGGGCAAAAACTGGGCAGGTTTGCTTGCAGCCCTCTTTAAGAGACTGGTATTTCCTAAGCTTGGTTCCTCCCCTGCGACACACCTCCACTGAACGTGCAGCATCCACTTGGGACCACCTCTGTGTTGCCCCAGTGGGACGTGGGGGGCAAGAGAACCGACGCAAACAGGAAGCGCGTGCTGTCTGTTGTGCTACGGGGAATCACATCCTTTGCCTCTGACCCAATGTTATTGTGATTTCTGCCAGCATCCGTGAACTTGAAGCAGACTCACTTGTTAGCTTGCAGGCAGGGGAAGTCTCATACCCTTCCCAGTTCTCACCGGAGCCCGTTAGGGGTGTCCTGCTGCCCCGTCAGGAATCCTTCAGTGGAAGCTTCCCCGACTCCGCTCCAGCCTCAGCTGATTCGTGGTCCCAGCACGCCAGAATGAGGTCACTTTGGGATAATTCTGCTCATTTCAATACAGCAGATAACTGGCAACTCCAGGGTGGTTGATCATCTTTGACCGCTATATGGAGGAAGTCCCACTCTATGAAAGCGTTGTCTTCTAAGTATGATTTGTAAGTTTTTTTTTTTAAAGATTTTATTTGGGGCGCCTGTGTGGCTCAGTTGGTTAAGCGACTGCCTTTGGTTCGGGTCATGGTCCCAGGGTCCTGGGATCGAGCCCTGCATTGGGCGCCCTGCTCAGCGGGAAGCCTGCTTCTCCCTCTCCCTCTGCCTGCCGCTCCCCCTGCTTGTGCGCGCTGTCAAATAAATAAATAAAATCTTAAAAAAAAAAAAAAAAAAGGTGCTCCTGAGATCACACCCCATACCTAGAGAATCTTAAAAAAAAATAAAGATTTTATTTATTTGACAGAGAGAGCGTGCACATGTGTGTGCACAAGCAGGGGGGAGGGGCAGAAAGAGAGGGAGAAGTGGACTCTCTGCTGAGCAGGGAGCCCGATGTGGGACTTGATCCCAGGACCCTGGGACCATGACCTGAGCCAAAGGCAGTCGCTTAACAGACTGAGCCACCCAGGCGCCCTATAAGTATTTTTTTTTTTTAGGATTTTATTTATTTCAGAGACAGCACAAGCAGGGGAGCGGGGTGGGGGGAGGGCAGAGGGAGAGGGAGAAGCAGGCTCCCCACTGAGCAGACATGGGGCTCGATCCCAGGACCCGGAGATCATGACCTGAGCCAAAGGCAGACACTTAACTGATTGAGCACCCAGGTGCCCCTGATAAGTATTTTTCTATGAAAATAACTTTATAAACAGCAGTTATATCTAGCCCTAGTTATTTTTTTAAAAAGATTTTATTTGACAGAGAGAGAGCACAAGCAAGGGGAGGGGCAGGCAGAGGAAGAGAGAGAAGGAGGCTCCCCACGGAGTAAGGAGCCAGATGTGGGGCTCAATCCCAGGACCTTGGGATCATGACCTGAGCGGAAGGCAGAAGCTTAACTGACTGAGCCACCCACGCGCCCCAACATAGCCCTAGTTATTTCCAGACTGACCCAGTAAATTTATTACGCAGCTCCAGCTTAGTGGTTAAGATTATGGGTTCTGGAGGCAGGCTATCTAGATTCAAATCCTGGCCCCTCCATTAGGTAGATTAGTTACAGTATCCTCTCAGTTGTCTCGCTTGGAAATGGAGTTTACAACACTAACCACCAATAGGGTCATTTTGAGGATTAAATGAATAATGCATGTCTTGTGAGCAACTCCTTGCCAGGCTGCTGTGATAACCATTCGATAATCTGGCTGCTATATACAGTTTAAGCAAGCTTGATCACCACCTGTCATCTTGCTGTTATTAGAGTAACATTAGCCTTGCTCTGCCCACTCAGTTCTCCCGGGTGAGAAGGCCAGACCTGTGGGGAGGGGTCTGCAGTTTTCTAGCCCTGCCGGAGAGTGGAAGGATGCCCCTACAACCAGGGAGCAGTATTATGAAACTTGCTTGGCCCACATCTGAATTACATCTTCTAACATATGAGCGTCCCATACAAAGAGAATATAATGATGTCCAACTCTTTGACTCTGAATCTTTCAGATGGTTCCAAACTCTGGCAGAGATGCCAGTTCTTAGCCCCCCTCAAGCACCAACACATAGTTAAGTGACAGGCTGTAATCTGTCATTTCATCCATACGTCTTGGGGTCTCTCCAACCATATGCTGAGCCCACCGTGTATAGGTCTATGTCTTGCCCTCAGTGAGGCAGTGGAGAGGGCAGTGTGGGAAAGGACATGGTCTCTTACCCCAAGAAGCTTGGGTCCAAATCTGGGCTCTGATACTTTATAGGTAGGTGACCTTTAGCTCCCAAGGCCTTGTTTCCACATCCATAATTGTACCTTCCTTACACGGTCCTTGCAAGGACTGAGTGGGTTACAACAGAACAGTGCCTAGCATGTAGTAAGAAGAGCGCAAAGAAATCCTGTATTTTATAGCCCAGGTGTTTTCCAAGATGCGACGAAAGCAGTTAAGTACATTTTCCCTGTAGATGAAATACTGAAGTTCTGGAGATGAAGGATTATTTTATGGAAAAAGATATTTACCTGAAACACTACTGGGACTGTCAAGGATGTCCTCATCCTTACCAGTGAGAATAAACTCAGCTTCTGCTAATGAGCGGTGGCCGCGGTGCTATTTCAGGAGGGAGCACACAACAAAAACCAAAGACAAGATTGGTAACGGTTGGAAGGTGGGAGAAGTGGGAATAGGACCTGAAGACAGCCTATCCAGCAAGGAACCTAACATGTTTAGTTATTTGTAAGAAAACAAAAGTTTCTTAGGAGAAGTAGATGTTTTTCCCGAAATTTTCTCAAAATAGAAATTGAAAATGGGATAATAGGTTTTTTTTTTTTTTTATCATTTATGAGTAAGTACACATTCTCTGTGCAGATACACATCCCTGGACTCTAGGGGCTGGGCAATACTTTTTCATCTGGAATCTTATCTCCATCATCTTATGGTCTGTGTTCTGCCCTCTGACTTGTGATAGGGTGACAGGCCACCAAAATCTTGAACCTTCTGTTTCCCAATCTCTTTATTACATATTCATCTTTGCAAATATAACATGCATTATTCTATCGAGACTTTATCATACTGGGAATGTAGCTTAAATTGCTAAAGGATGAAATTACATGAGTTGTGAATAAGATCTAGATTCTGAAGAGGGATTTTTCTTTTCTTTGGTGTCTGTATCTCCCCATCCCAGCTGGGGCCTAACACAGTACGAGGCACATAGGAAGTCCTCCCTGAACAGTTGTGTGAATAAATACACACTCTGAGATTTTACTTCAAGGGTGCTTACCTTTCTGTTCATCAGTATGGCAGTTGCCTCAAATTACCAACCCTGATGGGGATGATTAGAAGGAAATAATCATAGATTACCAACAGTGATGTGACACAAACCTTAATTTATTGTCTGGAAAGGGAGCGCCGCATTACTCAAGGACAAGTTCACCTATGTCACAACATATATTTAAATTTCACAAATCTGTTATATGCATATTTTTTGAGAAATACCGTACAATACTGTACATAAATGTTCTCTTCCCAATAATTTCCATAATAGTTTCCTTTCTCTAGCTTACTTTATCATAAGAATACAGTATATAATACACATAACAGACAACATACCTGTTAGCTGACGGTTTAAGTGATCGGTAAGACTTCCGGTCAGCAGTAGGCTATTAGGAGCTAAATTTTTGGCTAGGCAACAGACATAACACAGATTGCTGACTTCGTGGGGAGTCGGCGCCCCTAACCCCACATTGTTCAACGGTCACCAGTACCAAGAGGGCAAAAGGAAAGAAGTACATCAGATCAGGTGGGATTCTGGGTGCAGGTGTCTGGTTGGTTCCCAAGGCCAAGCGGAAACTCTTCTTAGCAAGTGGTCATCACGCTGGTTCACTTCTTAAAAGTGCAGGCACCATACACGGAGATGTCCAGGATGGGTAACCTAAAGCCCTACCGGGCTCCGCGTCACTCACATGGCACGTCTGACCCGTGGGTTGGCCGAAATCTTCCCTTAGCAGGGCCAGGACAGCACGTTAGTACAGCGGGGTTGATCAAGTAGGAACCACCGGTTACCTGCCTCTTTGCTCATCTCTTAAAGTGGAACTGCCAGACCTCATTTCCCTTTGCTGTCAGGGCCAAAGGCAGGGAAGCATGCATGTGTACACAGAAAAACAAATTTTAGGGAGACAGGTTGCCCTTTAAAAATTGTAATGCAACAAAATATCAGAGGCTCTCAAAGAAATCCTTGCACAGCAACGTTCCTAGTAACAGCATTCACAATGGCCAAAAGGTGCAAGCAAGCTAAATGTCCATCGATGGATGACAGATAGACAAAACGAGGTATATGCACACCAGGGAATATTATTCAGCCGAACAAGAAGAACGAACAAAGCCCGACGCGTGTTACACCACACACGAACCTCGAACACATTATGCCAAGTGAGAGAGGCCAGACATGAAAGGTCACATGCTATCTGATCCCATCATCAGCAGATATCTAGAATAGGGAAGTCCGCAGCCCCAGAAAGCAAACTGGTGTTTCCGGGGCTGGGGGAGGGGAGGATGGGCAGCCAGTGCTTCCTGGCTACAGAGATCTGTTTGGGGTGAGGAAGCGGTTTTGGAAATAGAGCTGGTGGTGGCACAGCCACGTAAATGTAGTGAAGGCCACTCAGCGGTACCCCTGAAAATGGGTAATTGTCGCTTATGTGAATTACACCTCCATAAAAAGAAAGGGGAAACAGAAAGAACTTCAGGGCTATTTTGAGCACCACCAATGCAAGAAAGCAGGACCGGACATGGGGGAGCCCGGATGCTGAACAACTGATGGGCACCAGGAGGGGAGAGGCAGAGACCGGGGGCTGGGGGGGGGGGGGGGCGGTTTCCACTTCAGAATCTAACCAGAGGTCGCAAACACTTGAAATGCAAACAAATACAACACATTTTCAAATGTGTAGCTCTTTAATTTCTGCAAATAACCTGGCATTCTAAACCAAGTAAACGATTGTACAGGGAGAAAGCGAGACATCCCACAAGTGCTTTTTCAAGGCCAGTGATTGTACCTGGAGGAGAGGGGCTGGGCTCTGGGGGGAGGGGGGGGGAGGGGGCAGGGTGGGCACTGAGTGCAGCCTGGGGACCGCCACCAAGAAGGGGCGACCTTGAGCCGCTCTGCCCATTTGCGAAGTCTGCCACATCCTCCATATAAGCCTGGCAAGCACATCATCTTTTGGCAGGTTTCACAGATCCTTTCAAAACAAATTTGTAAAAATTGCATTTAATCCATGTGCACAAACCTTTTAAGCACATACCAAGTCCACTCTTCTAAAAGGTGTTTCGACAAGATCGGGCGCGTTCAGGGTGGTATGGCCGCGACTAAAAGGTGTTTCGAGTGTTTAATAGGTCACTTCAGTCCAGACTATGTACAGGGAAGCCATTTGTAAAAAGCTACGCCCTTGGACAAACACTGCCTCAGGATTCCACTTACACAAAGTATCTGAAGCAGTCCAACTCGGGGAAACAGAAAAGAGAATGCTGGGGGAAAACGGGGAGGATAGTGTTTCACTTTGGCAAGAGGAGAACGCTTCCAGGGATCCCTTGTGCAACAACGTGAATCTACTGAGCATCACTGAACCGCACACTTTCAAAAATGGTGAAGGCGGTTCATTTTAGGTCAGGATTTTTAGCTCATCTAAAAATGTTTACAACCATCCTATTAAAGTAATACCCGTGCTAACTGTTTTGCTAGTGTAGTGTTACGGTTTTCGGGAAATTACAGGCTTTAGGGGTTTAGACGGAACCCAGTTTGGAGCTGGATCTACTTTAGAACACGAACGTAAAGATGGCTCTGGCTACAAGTACAGCAACAAAGCAATGACTTCAAGCAAAAACAATCCCAGTTTCTTACATCGCTGCCTGGTTTCTACAAACCACTCAGGAGGTTGTGCTTCCGTAGAGTTTGGACATCTAAGCGTAAAATACTGACACGTTATGGGAAAACAACACAAAACAACAACAACGAAGCCAAAACCAAAATGAGGTCAAAACTCGGGAGCTGGTTTGGGCCCCTGCTCTGGTGTTTTTAAAGAGAGAGCAAATAATGCAAGCCTCAGGATTTGGGAGGGGAAGGCGCGCCTCTGTCCATCTTACCTCCGGACTGGCTCGCGGCCTGCTGGCCCCGAGGCGGCCCAGCTGTGTGCGCGGCCACTGTCGAGACAGCCACGGGGCCCTGCAAGGTTCTCAAGGGCTGTGCCTGCGGCGGGGCCGGCGGCAGTGGGTGCGCAGGGCGAGGGCAGATCTGCCGGGGTCTTCCGTGGCTCTCCGCAGAGCCAAGCGCAGCCAACAGCGCCGCCTGGGGCTGCGGCAAACTCCCCTCTCCAGCCCCGCTAAGGACCACGGCCGGCTGAGCAGATGAGGCCGTTTTCGGACCGGCGGCACCTCGTGCACTTGCACCCTGTGGCACCGGCTGCGGAGGACCAGAAGTGGGGGCCTGCTGAAGTTGTTCTGGGGGAATCAACTGATAGAGCCGCTGCTCTGGCTGCTGCGGGGTGTTCAAGAGGAGCGAATCTTGGGGAAGCTCCAGTGCAGTTACTGGCCTGAGGCCGGAAGCGGGTTTAAAAAAAAACTGAATGCGGACCGGAGGACCCCGCGCTGCCGCGGGCACCGCACTGGGGGGCCGAGCTCCTGAGGGCAGGCTGCTGGGCTTGTCCCCCGCAGGAGCCGTGGCGCCAGCCGTGCAGCCCTGCCCGGGGCCGGAGCCCCGCTCCAAAGCCTGCGCTCCGCAACCGGGGCCCGCAGAGCGGGCCGTGACCTGGGCGTGGGGGCTGCTTTGTGATGGGCCGGCGGGGGACGGGGTGGTCGCAGGTAGCCTGCTAACTCGAGTGCCCTGCTTCACAGAGGATTTCGGGGACTTGGCCGTGACCGGGGTGGCCAGGGCTCCCGGCGGGGAGCTGGCGGTGGACAGGGTGGCTGCGGGAAGCGGGCGAACTCCAGTCACATTCACAGAGGACTGCCGGGAGCTGGCCGAGACCCGGCTCGCCGGGGTCCTCTGTGGTGCGCTGGCGGAGGACGGGGGCGCTGCAGGAAGCGGGCTAACTCGATTCACGGCCACGGAGGCCTGCCGGGAAAGACTTGCTGGCTTAGAAGCAGGAGCCGGAGATGGAGACTTAAGACAGCTGCTGGCCTCCCGTGGAGTAAAACTGTTCCCCGACCAACTCTCCCCTGAGCTCCAGGGAAGTCTGATGCGTAGAGCTGGCGGTCTGACGCCCTGGCCCTGGCCTGGAGACCGAACGGACACCATCTCAGGCTGTTCTGGGTCCTTCCCGGGAGGAAGCCCGCTGAGGCCGGCTGAGCCGCTGGAGCTGTGGGACGCGGGGACTGGACACTTGGCCTTCTGCGGAACCACCGCCTCTGGCCGAACGACTACCCCCACAGCAGCAGTCTTTGACTCGGGCGGGACACTGTCTGAACGGCCGTCTGTGGAGGGGTGCAGAGGAGACATCTGTCCCTCCCACCCGCCTTCCTTCCAGGGCCTTCTCGGTCCAGAGAAAGGTGGATTATTCGGCGGCAGCGGCGGCGGCTGCATGAAGGTCAGCTCCGTTGTCTGAGGCTCGTCGCCAGCCTCACATCCAAACGCACCACCGGCTCTCACCTCGTGGGCTGGCCAGACTCCTGGAGGTGAGACATCCTGTCTGGCGGACCTCTTCCCTCTGGCATATTTCTGCACATCCACTTCAGAAGGGACGGCCAAGTCACAGGGTCTCTGTTTCCACGTATCTACACAACTGCCCGCTTTAGAAATTTTGAGGTCATACCGCCGCCCGGCTTGGCTCTGTCTGCCTTTTCGGCAAGAGGCCCATACTCCGAGCTCAGGAGGAGGTGGGCAACCGGACAGCTGCCGCTGCCGACTCAGAGAGGGTGCAGAATACCTCTTGAAGCTCCTTTGCATCGGGCGAGTGTTCATCTTTTGCTTGTTATAGAGCAGCCTGTTTGCCGTGCAGGCTACTGATACGGAAGGATCGAGACACAGGGGTTCCGCAGTAGCCAAGATCAGTTGGCTCTCAAGCAGCAGTTTGTCCTCCTGGGTCCATTCCTGGCCATCGCTGCTTATGGACTGCACGTCGCAGGCTAACGTCTGCATGGTCGGGCGCAGGAGAATATGCCTGCTCTGGTAGCCGGGAGGTTCCCCACCACCGCACTGCCTGTAGTCCCGCACCTGTGCTATGACACACCCAGAGTGGAAAATGTTAACCTGAGATTTTTCCAGGAGGGCCAGCAGACCAGGGGGTAACTCCTCAGCATCCAGGTATTCCAGCAATTCCCCTTCTTCATAAGGCAGCCGAATGGTCTCCGAACACGCCCCATGTTTCCCCTCGAGCATCAGCGAATATCCCCCCTCTCCCGGGTGTAGGTTGACCACCAAACAGGGCAACGACTCTCTCCTGACGAGCTTCTCTAGCAAGTTCACGTTGCTTCTTAGCTCCTCCGGAGCCTCAGGCTCTTTCCCACATTCTTCCACATACATGTCATAAAGTTTTTCATAGAGAGATGCTTCCCCACTCGACGAGCGTTTCCTTTTAGGAGGCCTCTGCTGGGCACTTGCGATGACATAGTCCGCACGGTCCAAAGCTCGTTCTACAGCCTGTTGCATCGCGGGACAAAGGGGGCCCTAAAGAGAAGACAAAACGCAAGTGCCTTGAGGGGCGGGGTGAAAACCCTGCCTTTCACGTCGAGGTAGAGTCTCGCCAGCGCCGCAACTCCACCGTGGAGCCAGGAGCCTCACTTGCAAATGGACGGCCAGAAGCCCGCCCCACCGAAAGCACCACACAACATACCTGTGATTTGGGGAAAACACCTGCACGTGTCGGAGCCGCCCCCGCGCTGGGTCCGGACTCCCTGCGCGCTGCGCCGGAAGTGGATGGGAGCCCCCCGCCCTCCCCGCTCTCCCCCCGCCCCCTGGCTCCCCGCCCCCCCCCCCCCCCCGACCCCGCGGGAGCATCCGCTTGTGCGCACGTGCGCTCTCTGCAGGCCACCGCGGCGGGCCTCAAGCCTCCGCCTGTTGTTGCCTCCGCCTCCGGGCCTTGAGGCCCGCAGCCCGCACTTCCACTGCAGGGCCGGACCTTTGTTTTCCACTCAAGGCCAAGAGCACGCCGCCACCGACGCGCAGGCAACGCGCCGAAGAATACGCACTTTCCGGTCCGGTCCCAGTCCACGCCAGTTTGCGCAGGAATGCGGCTGTCGCGCAAGCCTTGGAAGCTGTTCGTTTCTTTTCTTGGCCAGCGCCTCACCCAGAATCGTTGACTGTTTCTGAGTCTCCTGTCGTGAACGGCAGGGCTGCGCCTGGTGCCCATCACCGCTTGAACACACCCCACAGAGCCCACGTGTGTAGCAGCTCCCGCCTATGTGGAGGCTCGCTGTATTTGGTGCCGGCGTCGGAACTGTTCCTCGAGTCTTCCAGTGATCTGCCTGATGGTTGGCGTGTAGATGTGCGCAGGACGTGCCCTTCTGATAAACTTGACTTACTTCCCTTGTGCTGCGCTGTGTATCACAGTAAGGGCGCTTTACAAGGGATGCCGTGGGCCAGTCGTCTCGTCTGGGAATTACGGCTCAGGATTAAACCATCGGTTTGAAAGGGTGGCCTGCGTGTGACGGAGCTGAGAGCCCCTGTCCCCGGGCCATGGCAGCACATTCCAGCCGCCACTCGGTCTTGGAGACCACAGCCAGGATCCTAAGCATGGATCTGGAGGGAGGTGACGGGCTCCCTTGTTTTCCACTCCCTTTGTTGCCTTCAGATGTGCCGGCCCTTCAGGGCAGGTTTTTAAAAGAATCTCGAGGTTTACGCGAGACCCGGCATAGAAAAGGCTCACAAAGGAAAAGAAGCCAAGACAAATCGGGGGAACGCCCGAATTTCACACAGCTCGAAAACCGGGGTGGGTTTTAACCAATGGCAATGGTGACAGTTGCATGTATCGTAGATAGGACGGTCCACTGAGAGAGGATTCAACACTTTTTGATGGAGGGCTCCTGAGAGCTAGAGGACCCTGGTCCAGGGAGAGACAAGAATGCTTTTCTGCAGGCCCATCAGCTGTCTTTGGGCAAGTGGATTCTTGTGGAGCGCCTCAAGGGGGCTGGAAGTCCAGTTCAGTTTCTTCACTCTTTTACACATCCTCCCCGGTCTCTCTTTTCCCCCACCCCCACTTGCCCGAATTTAGGCTAAGTCTGACACTGGATGGCTATAGCATATCTTTCTACACCGTAATTCAGACATCCTCCTGGAAGAGAAAGAAGTGCGAGACTTCGCCGCCCCTGGCTAGGGGAGCAGACTCCTGGCTTCCGAGCAGGGCAGAGGAGGAGGGCCAGCCCGGGTCAGGCAAGCGAGGGGGCCTGGGGCGGCAGGTTGAGGGAGACACCCGCGCTCGGGCGGTGCCCTAGCTGCCTCACCCGCCTCGCCTCGCCTCGGCCCGGCCCGGCCCGGCCCGGCCCTGCGATGGGCCCCTGGCCACGTGGCGCCCGCCTCCTTCCCAGCTCTTCTCTCCTCTCCTTCCCACGGGTCTGTGCTCGGCCCCGAGTCACCGGCCACGGACAGGCCACCCCGCCCAGGGCGCCCCGTCCTGGCAGACGCCTGCCGCTTCTGCTGAGAGGCCTGCCTGTCTCCACCTTCTCCCCCTCGGATATGCCGTCCTGACCTCCAAGAAGCGTGTCTCCCGCTCCCTGCTCTCCTGCCCCTGCACACGGGCCGCGTGCCTGAGGACAGCCGGCCTTCACCTTGGCAAGGAATGGAGCGTGCGCACTGTTTCTCCTCACCCGGCCTCCGGATGCTCTGAGGGCAGAGACCATGTCTTTGCCATCCCTGTTCGCTCACCGACTCGGGTGGTCACTCCTTGGCACCACGTCGGTGCCGTCGAATGGAGGAATGATGGGCGGACGCCGCGCTCTAGTTACCTCAACCCCAGGCTCCTCAGAATCTTGTCAAGTAAATATTTTATCCCCCTTTCGGAGACCACGAAGGCACCCGCAGACAGGTCTTCTGGCTCTGGTGCCCTGGACGGTGCCAGGAGGGCCGAACCGGGGCGCTATTGACATGTGTTGTGCGGGGACGTCTGGCGCATCCCTGGCGCGGTCCTCTGCATGCCCGTGGCCCTCGCCCCCTCAGCTGCGACAACCGAACGTGGCTCCGGGTATTGCCAGCCAGCCCCCGGCTGGCGGGGGCGGGGCGGGGCAGGGGGCGGCAAGATCGTCCCCTGGTTGAGAACCCCTCCACTGTAGACCTGCTCTGGAAACCACGAGCGTGATCCAAATGCAGCCCCTGAGCCCCCGTCCCGGGGTACTTGTCACTGGCCAGAGAGAGAGGCGCATCTGCCCCGCTGCCACGGGATGGCCCAGATCTGCGGTGTTGCCCTGGCTGTGTCTTAGGTTGGGTTTCCCCAGAAGTGCACCCTGAGAAGAGGATCTGCGTGCAAGCGGTTGGCCTGGGAGCTCATCCCCAGAAGCACCGGGGGTGGGGGGGGGTGGAAAGGGAATGACCTGGGAAGACAACAGCGGGCACATCCATGAGCCGAAGACCGCGGTGGACAGCTGGGCCCTGCTGGGGAGCTCCCGGGGGGAGGGGGCGGCAGGGCGGGGGCGGCGGGGACAGTACCGAACACGTGTCGGGGTCTGCTACCTGAGAGGCAAGGAAGCAGGGGTGTGTATCCCTGCACTCGTCTCTCTCGTTGGCTGAGGACAGGCCCGGCACTGTTCCCTGTCCCTCCAGCTTGCCGCTTAGGAGAGCCACCCATGCTGACGTGGCCGGACGATACCCGCATACGGACAGTCACAAGCGCTCGCCGTCGTGCTCCGTGTGCGGGGACAGTGTTAGCCCCATGGGGGTTCGGGCAGGGCGCTGGCGGCCTCTGCTCCAGCCACGACTGAAGCTCAGGCGGAGAAGTGCAGTCGAGAAATGTGTGCTCTCTGATACATCTGGCTGTGTGGACAAGGGAAATGCTACTCCACGTCCAAGTGAAATGGACGGTGTCGTGTGAGGCGTGCGTGTGTGTGTGTGTGTGCGCGCGCGCGTGAGAGAGTGGCAGCTCTTAAAGCCACCACGGCGTCCAGTGGAGGTGGTGGCCTACTCCCTGGCCCCCGCCGGGTGAACCCCTAGGCCTTCTGGCCACGGGTGCACTGGACGAGGCTCTCACCCTGGCTGCGCGTGCATCCCAGTGTGTGTCAGTGGGCCTGGCAGCGCTTAGCGTGCGTCAGCCGGCCCCTCCACTTGCACTCCCTAATTGCCTGGTCTTCCCACAAGACGAGGGGTTTAAAAAAAGTGGCTCCGAGTGCACACTGTCCTTGGAGCCCTGCAAGCACGTTAATGAGCCCACTGGCTGATTATAAGGACTCCGATGGCTGCCCTCCCCTACAGCAGCCTGACCTAGATGCACATGCTGAGAAAACTCACGGCCAGGCTAAGATATGCTAGTGGGAGAAGAGAGTTCAGTTAATTGCAAGATAATTGAGCCAATTTACAATTAGCAAACTGGTTTGTGCCATACCCATTGAGGTCTAGGTCTCGATTTTGCCACCTCTCCCCTGCTGCAGCTAATTAGAGGGACCAGCCAGAGAACATGGACTACGGGGAGCAAGTGAAGGTGAAGATACGTTGCTTGTTGGCCTCATCTCTGGTTAACCCTCCATCACTTGCCCTGAGACTGACGTGTCTTTCCTGTGTTCAGGCCCCAAGACACATTATAGCAAATCCCTGGGTGGGGGGGATGCTATAGCTCTGGGAGATCATGTGACTGAAGGCCCCTCCCACAGTCCATTACGGAGACGGAAAGGCAGACCTTATCCAGAAGCATCATGATAGGGAGAGGGACCACGGCAATGGGATTTTCCAGTGGGGGGGTGGGGGGCCGGAGAGATTGGGCTCAACTCGGAATGCGGCATGGACACGTGGGCGTTTATAGCCAAGGAGCAGGATGGGAGTCGGTGGGTGGAAAATTACTAAGAGGAAACATCAGGAGTATGGGGGATTCTGGCTAAACAGAGCCAACAGGATCCTCTGCTGAAGACAGGCCAGGGTGATCAAGGCATCGCCTGGGGGATGGTGGAGGATGAGCAATGTGATTGGGTATGGAGGGTGGGGGGTTCTGGTTAAACTGACGGAGCAGGGTTCTTGCCAAAACTGGCTTCTACAAGGAAGTGCACAGATGGGCCTACGAGTAGGTTCTGGAGCCTGACTAAAGTTTGGTCAAGAAGAGAATTTCTGTCACCATCAACTTTTAATTATGAAAATGTTCCTTATCACAGTGACAAAGGGTAAGATATACTAGAGGAAGAAGAGAATTGAATTAATTGCAAGATAAATACCCTAATTTGGAATAGTAAACCGGTTTGTTCCAAGCTCATTGAGGTCAAGCATGAATGTTTTTTATTAAGTATAATATACAGAGAGTAAAATTTTCCTTTTCAAGTGTACAGACCTGTGAGTTTTGAAAAATGTTTTCAGTTGTGCAATCACCACTGCAATCAAGGTATAGAATTTTTCCATCATGCAAAAAAAAAAAAATTCCCTCATGCATATTTGACGTGGATTCTTTCAGGACCCAGAGGCCATACCACCTTGTCTTGATTACTCTAGTTTTATAATGAGTTTTGAATCAAGTAGTGATAAAG